ATATATATATATATATATATATATATATATAGGGAAAAATATTTCTCAAGCTGCTTGAGATAAGTTTATCTCTGGCCACCCCAAAACTATGTCGTTTTATTTATTTATTTCCTTATATTATCATCACCTTTGAATGGTTATGATTCTCTTTTTCTCTCTCTTCCTTTATCACCCTTGATCCATCTTTGTACGGTTATGATTTAGTAGCCGGAGATAACATTGTCTCAAGCAGCTTGAGAAACGATAAACCCATATATATATATATATATATATATATATATATATATATATATATATATGGTTCATGCGGTTTAACCAGTAACCCACCGGTTGAACCATTGACCCAGTGATCCAGTACCTCGGCCGAGTCAATAACCGGTCCGGTTCTAATAACATTGATCACAGGAGATAAACTTTTCTCCCGGAATTTTAAAATGATGTCATTTTAAAGTTGTGTATAAAAAAAACGTTAATCTTCTATTTAAAACGAATCAAGCAGACACTTTAAAAAAAAAAATAGTGGTTAAGTTTCTGTTTAAAGTTAGAATCTCCATTGGAATTGATTATATTAAATGTAATAGAAAAAAATTAGTTACTATATATTGTATGAACTAATTATTTAAATAATGGGAGACAGGTCACGCTGTGGTTCTATATTTTATATTTTGTTATAATAACAAATGGAATTGGAAGATCAATAATAACTGACATGAGAGAGACTATAACTCATGAGAGAGCCATTGGTTAATATTCACCACAGCATTAATTTATATTTTATGTTTATACTCTCTCTTTTTTTTCATTAATCTCGAGTCGGGGTTTAGTTACAGTTAAAATTTCTCATCGCTTCTTAAAGATGTATTTAGTGATAATCGAATTTAGATTCTCTCTCCACTTATTTAGTTTATATTGCCAATTGAGTTACACCAATTGAATTCATGTTTATACTTTTAAATTTCAAATTACTAGTCCTTTTATCTTTGCATAGGAAAAGTTTTCAATTAGATATGATTCATCAATAAATTACTAAAATTATTCTTTAGCCATGCAGTTCTGAGCTTTGATAAGGAATATAAGAGTTATTTTTTGTGGATGATCTAACCCTGGTCCCAATGTTTGGTTTAAGCATGTAATGCATTAATTTGCCTAGACAAGCTAGATAGTTAAGCCGCCCTTTGGTGAATTCTATCTCTAGAATAAAATTATGAGAAGAGCCAAGATTTACTTCTTTTGATGATTTTTTTGGATCCCGACAATATGTAACTTTATTGATAAATATTTTGTTTTTTGAAAAACGAGGTTAACATTATTTTAATTCATGAAAGATAAATATTAGGAATATGACCAAAAAAATTGGAAGTAAATGCCACTTCTAGCATCTCCTTGCTTCACCATAGCTCCTCACCTGATAGGGTATATATCTGCAATTCATTATTTTTATGAATTGTTACTTTGTTAAAATATAGAGTTATTATGTCCTTTTACATTCTCTTCTCTCAACCTCACCTGACATAGCACTTATGTGTTTTTGCTTGAACTTTGGTCCATACCACTTCTACTTTGAGCGCCCATATAACGATATATTTCACCAGCTATACAAACTTAGCTCTAACTCCATAACAACTCAAAAATAATAAAAAAAACTTTATAGGAAATAGTTAAAAAAATTTCCTATTTATTATTTTATCTACGCGTGTTATTAAATTATACTCCGGCAAGGAATCGTGTTTTATGCGAATAATGGAGCAATAAGAGTTACAAAACATTGAATTCATCCCAAAGCTGGAATGCCTGTTGTCATGGAGCAGCATGCTACCAGAAACTTACATCAACAATAGGGATTTTATTTTATTTTATTTTAGACAAACAATAGGGATATTGAAGTCATCACCTGAGAGGTGAGCGGTTAACATTAGAATTCAAGGCATTTACTTGCATGTGCCGTATCAGCATCAGAGATTATTTGGAAGCATTTGCGTGCAAGAATCTACTTTAATAATTTTGATTATAAAAAATTATTTAGAATTATATTATTAAAAATTAAATTGACTATCAGAATACTTAATCTAAGTATTTAATACATTTCTATAATAATATAACCAATGTTTTAAAATTCCGCTCCATCCCGGGTTGACCCGGGTCAACTCTGACCCCTCTCCTCTGAGGTTTGGGATCACAAGTTGAACCCTATATGCATATCGATCCCTCGGATCCCCAAAACCCGGCCGGGTTTCAGTGACTCCCGGGTCTGAGGGTCAAAGGGGGCCATTGCATGTTTTTTTTTTACAAAAAATTCTATGAAACAACATTGTTGTATTAAAAAATAAATAAAAATACTTGCAAACCTAAATCTAATTGTTCTATTCTATCCTAGTGACCTAAATATTTTCAATCTTCACCTCACTGCCGTGAATCTTCTTGAAAAGGTAAGAATTTTATCCCTTCAAATAAAATCCTTATGGTTGTCGATGGAAAACAAACTCATTCTTACTTCCTTTAAATTTTCCTTTGTTAGAGGCCTTCTCAAAAGAGGCAGAACCGGGTCAGTGTAGTGACCTCATTAGCATATGAGTTTTGTACTTTGATATCTTGATACTTTAATTAGGTTGTATAATATTGACTTGCGGTTGTAATTGGTAAATTATGTTAAGTATATTTTGAATCTTTGATGATTGGTGGTTTGTTTTTTAATATTTTCATATATGATATATCTATTTATATTTTTTTTAATATATAAAATCGAGTCAGCATAGTGACCCCTGACCCCCCGGTTGAACCCGTGACCCCTGACCTCAGCAGGGTCGATGGCCGGGCCGGATTTTTAAACACTGAATATAACTATTAAGAAATCAAATTAAGAGACGGATAACTTTTCGTCTATACATATTAACTTTTCATCGCCAACATTTAATTTTAAATATAAGTTTATCTTATAATAGGGATTGAACTAGTTTTTCCCTAATGAATTTTGAGATTTCACTTATTAGAGACAGATATAATATCGTCTCCGAATTTAATAAATGTGTGCTTAATTTATTTTATTTTTTTATCTATTTTCATCTTCATTTTAATAAATTTATGTCACTTTCGTTTTTTTATTTTTCTGAATTTTTTATATCATTTAATTTTGCAATTAAACAAAACATAAATTTATTTTATAATTTGTTGGGATATTCAAGTGTAATGAGTTTGGCTAGGAGGCAAGTTGAATACTTGAGTCTGGGTACTCGGTTGAGGTGGAGCGTATCAATGTTGGGTTTCACACTTGAAGGGAAGATTGTTGAGATATTCAAGTGTGATGAGTCTCTCATTGGTTGGTAATGGACTAAGTGCAATGTATGTAAGTGGATGCACCCATGAACCCAATGTCTTAAGGTTTTGGGTTATGACATAATATCGAACTCACTTGATATGGTGGTATAGCCTCCGCCCATTGGTAGTAGTTCCTCCGCATGAGGTTGTAAAAGGTTGTAAAAAAAAAGAAGTTGTAAAAAAAAAAGATTGTAAGTATAACCTTCTTCTTGCTTTAAATCTATAAATAACTAACTAATGATAGTTCACCCATAAAGTAATGTTATAAATATTAAATTACTTCAATACAATAAACATAAAACAAAATTATATTTTGACAAAAATAAAATAAAATCAGATGTTAATCCCAAAAGATGATTGAGCAGCTTGATTAAATGTACAGTGATCTTAGTATTTTAATATTTTAATATTTTTAATTTTTTATTTATATATTTTATTTATTTTATTTTAATATTTTTATTTTTTATGCATATATTTTATTTATTATTAGATAAAATTTTATACAAATCTTGTCATTAAATTTTACTCAATAGTAAAAAATATTAAAAACAAAAAAAATGCTGAGAGTATTTCTGTTTAACGTTTTACTCTTTTTTGATCATTACAAGAGTCCAATGAGAAATAAACACACAATAACACATTCATTAAAAAATAAATGAAAAAAATTTCCAATGGTCAAGATCAATTAACCTTGATAAATAACAAAAAAAAATAAAGAAACAGTGGTAAACATTCACCCCAATGCCCATAGTATTATCCCACCCCACGCTCCACCCCCCAAGGCAATATGCAGAGTCATGACATTTATGAAAAGCCAAAGAGTTAAAAACCAAACAACTAAATCCATTGCCATAATAAAATACGGTTTCAATTTTCGGAGAAAATTTTATCATATTTATAGTTATTAAAAAATAAAAAATAAAAAAGTAAATATTATACAAAAATTAAAGGGTAACTGATAAGAGAAAACAATTCTCTTATAATATGATATCAGATGATTTATAAAAAAATAAAATAAAATAAAATAATATTTTCTTATGAATCGTCTGATATCATATTATCATCGGGTGTCAATTAATTCAAATTCGATCCGGAAAAAATTACAAATACAACAAATCTCTTTATATGAAGTTTTAACATAACTGTATATTTAATGGTGGTATTGGATCATCTCATATCAAAATTTTATATTATCTAATTATATAAAATTTATATATATATATATATATATATCTTTTTTTTATTAGTAATAATCACTTATTTAATATATATAAAAAAACAAAAAAAATTTACGTGATCAAATAATATAAAAAAATACAAGAGAATCCACCCCCAATGCCTCCTCAGTCCTCACCCATTAGAGCATGTGCTTGATGGTAAAATAACCCCACTTTAACGGATGCACCACACCTCACCTCACATTTATTTTATTTCATCTTTAATTTTTCATATATATTTTTCTCTCTCTCTCTCTACATTTCTCTCTCTTACCAATTGTACCTGCCAAGTACGCTTACCTGTACCTCCCAGACTTCTCGCATCATCACCTTTCCATTGTGTACACTCTCTTATTAGAATCCTTATTTACTCATTTTCCCCTTCACACACACACACACACCTATATATATATATAAACACACACTCTTCTCTTTTATCATTCCCTTCTCAGTTCTCACCCACCACAACCACAACCACAACCACAACAACAAACATACACTCTCTCTTTCACTTTTTCTTTCTCTCTCTAACTTTCGACTCTCTCTCTCTCTCTCTCCACCGTCCTCCGCCGTCATGAAGCAGTTGATTCGCCGGCTGTCCCGAGTCGCCGACTCCTCTCAGTACACTCTCCTCCGCTCCGACTCCCAGCGCGGGAGCCGCCGTCCGTGCCGTCGATCGGAGTCGCTCCGCGCTGCCGCGGCGGCGAAGATCCGCCGCTCCTCCACGGTGGTGCCGGAAGGACACGTGCCGATCTACGTCGGCGACGAGATGGAGCGGTTCGTCGTCGGAGCGGAGCTGCTGAACCACCCGGTCTTCGTGAAGCTTCTGAACCAATCGGCGCAAGAGTACGGTTACGAGCAACAAGGAGTGCTTCGATTGCCTTGCCATGTCTTCGTCTTCGAGCGCGTCCTCGAAGCGCTTCGACTCGGCCACGACACGCGCTACATCACGGAACTCCTCAGTTCGGAAGAGTTCTGCTAAGGAAAAAAAAAAATTCCGAGAAAATCGAACTTGCATATGGTAAATTAGCGAGATCTCTTTTTCTTTTTTGGTTTCTATGTAAATATACATCAGGATCTTGAAAAAAAGAAGCAGCAGCATAGAAATGTTAGGGTTTGTTTATCTTTTTTTTTTTTTTTTTTGGTCGTTGTTGCTTGATGCTCCCTGTAAAGGCGAATATATTGTTTGTTACTCTACTGTTTGCGACCAAGGAATGAAAATCACCTCTCTCTCTCTCTCTCTCTCTCTCTCTCTCTTCTTTTCCTGAATTTTCCGTTTCTTTCGTTTTCTTGGTAAACAAACAGAGAGAAAAAAAATGCAAAACGATAAGATCTGGCAATTTATGTTCCCAATGCCTCTGTCGTTTTGAAAGCTAATAATTCTGATCTTATTTTTTTTTATTTTGGGTTCAGCTGTTTTAATTTGTTCATAATTAAAATTAAAATTACCAAAGTTGTTTGTTCAAGTATTAATATTTGATTTTGTTTAAGCAAAATTTTGAATTCAAATCAAAGTTTTTCTGAATATAAAAAATTCTTTTTGCAGAGTTAGTTTCACCATGATTCTATCCCACTATAGTGATATTTTCAAACCAAACAGAATTGTATTCGAAGAATATATGTGGTATATAAAAAATTAAAAAAATTAAAACTTGATTTTATATATTTACTTATGGTTTTGTTGCCGGAGCGTAAAATAAGTGGAAAAGGTAAGAGTGTTTTAATTACGATAATCTTACTAAAGATCAGAGTGTTTCTAAAAGTTAATTTAAAAAAAAAACAAAAACAAAATCTAACTTTTGTATTTATCTCTCTAACTGTAATTTATTACTATTAACTGTATGTGATGTAATCTGGATACAATCAAATCTGGTATAATCATTTTAGCAGGAGTTCATGAGTCATGTAAGAAGTAATTTATTACTATTATTATTTTTTGGGCCACCAGTAAAGAGAATATAGTCTTAGAATTGCGTTTTCAAAAATAATTTTTTTTAACTTTTAAATAAAAAATGTTTGAATTTAGAAAATATATTTGAGTTGCTTTTATTTTATATTTTTATTTTTAATTTTCAAAATAAAAAATATACAGAAAATATATATTTCATTAATTATTCTATAAAATAGTTTCCACAAAAAAATATCAAAACACAATCACGCCCAATAAATCTAATCTTGAAAATGTTTTAAAAGTGGAACAAGGGATGATTAAATTAAAGAAAAGTTATTTGTCTTTTAAATGATATAATTTGTGTCATTTTTTTTTTTTTTTTATAACATAATTTGTCATTTTATATCTACAAAAGGTGAGATCTATATTTTAATTTTTTTGTTCATTCTTTCTCTTCTTATAAATTATTTATTTTTCTCACTTAAAATGATATAATTTTATATCCTTTAAAATCATACATATATGTTTTTTTCTTAAATTAGTAGTCTAACTATGCTTGAATATTTTACAGAGTAATATAAAGTAAAATAAAATAAATTCATATTCTGAAAACTCTTTTAAGAGCTTAATTTCCTTGTGTAGATGGACATGAATTTGGGGGAAATTACGAAAAGGAAAACGAGATGCATTTGGATCATAATTACCAAGTGTTTAGGGGATGTTCGGTAGGATTTTTTTTTTTTTTTTTTTGGATATCGGAAAAAGATTGAGTAGATTTTTAAGATGATCATGTTTGATATTATTTTTCAAAAAATTTATCCAATAAAGTGAGATAGTTGGAATTCATTTTATGTGTAAAAATTTGGATAAAAATTAGTCTTTAGAATACCACCCAAAGAGTGATATTGTTAAATTGCTGGAAAAGTGATTGAAGAAAAAAGTGACAAAACATTACATCTTTGAAAATGTGATAAAAACAATCCTACTAATGATCGAAGAAAATACCAAAGTAGAGGTATAAACAAATGTAAAGTCAGTAAATTTTATCCAATATTTCTAATAACATTTTGGCATACTAAATAATTTTTTAATCACATTTTCAAAAATCTTATTTTCTATCACATTTATGCTAATCATAGTTTTCGAATAAAAAAAAAAAATTTATCTACCAAATATCCGTTTAAGGTTTTGGGCGTATGCTGTGGCAGGTCAGCAATGTAATTGTCGTGATATTCAGTGGTTTTTTCAAATCTTAATCCTATCGACAATGGTTTCGGGGCAGAAACGTTGTTTTGTGTTTGCATGGAGGATAGTTTCGTCACTCAGGTGTGGCTGCCCTGTCAAGAAAAATCAACAGTGGCATGTGGTCCTTTTGTCTCATTATAGTTGTAATTGAATTCGTTATAGTTAAATACATATTTTAATTCTATATAATATTTAAATGTTAAATTAATATAAGATATAAAAATTAAAGTAAATGAAAATATTTAAATTAATAAATAATATTATAGTAAATATTCTATAAGTTGATAAATTATTAATAAAAAATTAAATAATAACAATTATACACGAGTCTTTATTTTTTCTCAAAAAATTATATTTGGTTGACTAAAAAATTAATAAAAATAAGTTTAAACTAATTTTCTACTTTCAGTTTTTATTGGTTTTGGAGTAGATCGACCTGTTCTGATTTATTAGATTGACCATATCAGTGATATGATGATTTACTAATATTTTAATCCACAAGCAACGGGTTTTTGTTAGAGTAAATACTTTTTTGGTCCTCAGCAAATTTCAGAATCCCTTCTTTAGTTTCTAACAAATAAAAAGGCTCATCGCGTTACATAAGAAATTCAAAATGGATCCAATTAATTGAAATCGTGGTCCTTCGCAAATTCAAAAAAGATCCATATTAGTCCCTAAAAGGACTAAAATGGGTACATTTGGAATTTCTTAGTGACCACGATAGGTCTTTTTATTTGCTAGGGACTAAAGCGGGTATCGTGAAATTTGCTGAGGACTAAAAATGGTATTTACCCTTTTTGTTATTATCTGTTATGTATTATACAATTATTGAAACTAAAAGTATTTTTAAATAGAGAAAAATATTTATCCTTTTAAATGACACAACTTATATCATTTCACTCTCACAAAGAGGTGAGACCCACAATTTTTTTTGTCAACTCTCTCTCCTCTTTTATCTATCTCTTTCTCTCTCTTAAAATGACATAACTTTGCATCCTTTAAAATGACACATTTTTTACGCTTTTAAATAACATAAAATTTCATAACACTCACCGTTAATTTAAATTAGATTCGATAACAAATTCCTTTAATCATAATTATATACAATTAACTAATTTTTTTTTTTCTAAACCTATGGTGAAACTGGGCCGGCCTACAGGGGCCTACAGCTCAGCCTACGTCAGGTCAGATCTGATCTAGTATATTTCGTAAAATAGGCTGGGTTTGGGCCTTGAAAAAGTTTATTTAATAAAAAGACTGTAGGCCCACTTTCCTAAGCCTGGCCTTTAAGCTACTAGCCGACCTATATTATACTATTTATTTTAAGGGGATTGTTTTTCTCATTTAACATGAGAGAAAAACAATCTCCTACAACCACATATGGAAGAGAGAGGAGAGAGAATAAAGGAGAGAGAAAATTTAAAGTGGGTCCCACATCCAATTTATATCTAATGCATGAGATAATTATCTCATGTAAAATGAGATAATTATTTTCCTTATTTTAAATAACATAAAATAGAATAAGTATGTCTTGAAGAAAAAATAAAAGATTAAACTTAATCAATTGCAATTATTTAAAACTTAATTATATTCGATTATATTTTAATAGAAATCTGACTTTATTTCTTATGTAGGAGGAATCAACATATCAACATGTTAGATTGTGTATATGAATATATTAAAAGATTTTTGGGAGAGGTTATACTTACTACAAGCATCATGATGTATTTGTTGGATTCATGTAGTTATTTTAATTTACATAATATAGATTTTTTTGTTGGATCTGATGAAATATATGTCATTTAGTTTGAGCATTTTGCTTTTGAAAGTGGCTTAAATGTAGATTGTATGAGTTTTGTTGTGATTTATGATTCTGTTTGGACGTTGAAATTATGAATTTTGGTTTAGCAACAGAATTTGAGTATTTTATAAAGTTGATTCATGGTTCTGCTTAGAAGTTAAAAAGTAACAGGCTAACGGGCTAGGTTAGACCATTTGTTTTTTTTATAAACAGGTCAAGTCAGGTTAACAGTTAGACACGTACTAGGCTTGTGTCAGGCCAAATTGAAATTTTTTAGCATAGACTTAGGCTTTTCGGGGCAAAGTTTGGCCCAACTCAGTCCACTTTCACCCCTACCTACTACCATTCATTTTTCATTTAAATATTTTATATTAATAAAAAATGATAACATGATTAAAAATTACTTTTTTTACTTATCTTATAGATAAGATAAAATGGATAAAATTGTAAGGGGTTTACATTTATCATTTAACATGACACAACAAAGTTTCCTACACACACAACATTTTGTGGGGCCCACACTTTTTGAAACAAAAAAAACAAAAAAACTACGGCACGCAAAACGAATCTCTATAACATTACACAATCACTTTTCCTACAACATAACTCTTGTAAAACCCAAATTGTAAACAATTATTATTCTCCAGCTACAATTATCTTCAAGTACTCAACAACTTCTTATCATATAGTACTTCTTATCATTAGATTACTTTCTCTTTCCATTAATGCTCACTTCATTTATTAGAGATACCAAGAGATAATAATAAAATTAAAAATAACAAGTGTTTCATTAATTTTTTGAAGTAATAAATTAACAAAGAAGATTATACTTATGACCTATTTTTGTTTATAACCTCTTATCATCCTATTTTAACTGTTGATTTTCGCCAATCAACGGTTATCATTTATTGCGAATTATAATAATTAATTAATGAGTTTGATTTACAAAAATAATAACTATTGATTGACGAAAATCAAAGGTTAAGATATGGTTGTAAGAGATTATAAACGGAAATAGATTGTAAGTATAACTTTCATCTAAATTAAATAAAACGATTTAATTCTCTAAAACCATTGATATTTTAATCCACTTAAAAAAATATTTTTTATTATTTATTTTTCTTCAC